TCATTCGGTTTTGGACAGTGGCCAAGGACGCGTTGCTCAAGCCTGCTCGGCGAGGTGACCGACAACGCCGCGATTGCTTGATAATTATGCGCGATTACGCGAAGGTAAACGATCGGCAATCGGCGCACGTAACGCCGACGCGCGACGTTCGTCGATCTTCGCCGCGTCGAATCGGTATAAAAGACGCCCGCCACGCTGTTTCGAGTATCAATCCGATTCTCCAAACCAAACTCTCCAAGCTTCACGCCCAGCGAAACAATCTACGAAATGAAGTGCATCGCGGTGAGTAAACTTTCCAGCCAACGATAACGCGCTCTACCGTTAGACTTTGAAGTCCCGCGAGAAGAGAGATATCAATTCCACACAGATAGGCTTCAGAGAGTGCTTCAAGTTCGATTACATTCAGATTTTCGTGGAAATCGAGACTACGCGACAAGAGTGTTGCCATGTTTCTGGAAGAAGAGGTTGGCTCGTCTTTTTCAATGAAACCCCTTTTGCCTTGCGATTTTCTTTTCCATTTCTGAGATAAGCGTGGCTTTTTTTTTTGAAATTGCTCGTCAATGAAGTTGATCTAAAAAGTTCGAATTGAAATTTCCTTCAAATCGAGGCCATAACTTTCTCGAAAGCAAGCTTGAACGATTAATTAATGTTGGAGAAACGAGCAACTTTTTGGCCAACCCAATGACAAAACAATGAAATGATCGCTTTAAATTACAATTATATAATTATAATTACTCTAATTTATGTCTCTGTATAAAAATACCAATACCACGTTTATTTTACTTAGTCTAATTCGTTATAGTAGGAACTAATAATATTTCCAAGTTGTGAAAGATACTCTCGCAAATGTTGCTTCCTTTTTAGCAAGTTTTGCCAATTTTGGATAATTTTTTTCTCACGTTCTCCATTAATCCCTACCGGGCGTACATTATAATTCATTTTATTTTATCTGACGAGTCGAGTGGTAATAACTCTAACTTCAATCTACTCGAATATCGACGATGCAATTTATATTTTTCACATCAACAATATTTTCCAGTTGAGGGAAATACTTTATCAAAGCTGGCAAATATTGCTGGTACACATAAATATCTTTTACAAATAAATTTTACCAATCTTGGATATTTACATTATAATTTGTTCTATTGTTCGTCGCAAGAACGAATAAATCGGATAAAATATATATCGAGAGTCTCGAGCTCTAACCGGGTAATCGAGTATCTCACATACCCAAGCAAAGGTATACTGGCGTCGATGAATATTCTTAGCAAAGGAATTAAAACGCAAGATACAAGAAAATAATACACAGCAATAAATATTTCATTAAAAATCACTCTAGTATCTAAAAAAAAAAAAAAAAAACGCTGTTTTATTATTATCTAAAGAGTATAGTATCCTATTATAAATTATACTGTCCTATTATTGTTCCGTGCCATGTGTACCACCGGTGGTACACGTTAAACTTGATCTTCAGGCCACGTGTACCAGCATGTATTTCTAATAATATCAACCTTTAGTTAAAATATCAAATGGCCTGAACGACAACAAAAGGCAAAAATGGCTTGCCACGGACGTTCTTGATTTCGGCGTAACTATCTTTTCATTTCCTACATTAATTGGAAAGAACCACGTGCGATCATGCGATGAAGATACCCACTGTCTAATTTCTGTTCATAAAAACCATACTGTACTATTTCACTAAATATGTAAAAAAAAAGAAAAATTATATAAATTGGCCGATTTTTGGCAATTGTGAGTGTGCTGACAACTCATGGTTTCTTTCTAATTTCCAGGCTGTCGTCTTGCTCGCCGTGGTCGGCGTAGCTGTAGCGAAACCTCTGGAAACGGAGTCGATCGAGCCAGCGAGGGCAGAATCGGCAGTGGCAGAGGAAACGGCAGAGGCCGCGGTTCGAGACAAGAGAGGGTTGCTGCTGAGCGCAGCTTACACCGCACCGGTCGCTTACAGCGCGTACACCGCCCCGGTCGCGTACACGGCTGCTTACACCAGCTACCCTTACGCCGCTTATGCTCGCTACCCTTACTACGCGGCTGCTTACTCGGCGGCGCCATACTATGTTCTCTAAACCATCTCCAGCCGACGACCGATCTCGACGACTGCACTTCGACGATCTGCCAAGAACTTTCCACCATTCCGATCGATCGACAGATGCAGGAACAATCGCGCGGACGGATGCTCGCCTAGGCTTACACCGAAGAGATGACCGAAAAAAGTACTAAACAGATAGAACAATCGGAGATAATTCAGCTACTTCAGCCATCGATTGTGTCCTTCCGCGCTTTAACTAACAAGCTATTATCGATACGTGTATCAAAAAATACGTGTAATAAATTTCGTTTCGCAAAGTATAGAGAGGGCTGTCTGAAATTTTTATATCCTAATGACGAACTTTGAATGAATCGAAGAATTCTGGAATTGAAGGGAAAAAGGGAAAGAAAAAAATGAGTAAGTTAGAGCAAGTTTGAAAGGTTAGATTAAAGAATTTGAAAAATAGCGTTCCGTAATTACATCCACTTGGCAAAAGTATCCAAAAGTAACAGATCTCGGGAGAACTCTTTTCTTTCATCATTATCATCGTCAATTGAAATTACCAGTTAATCTTTCTTTTTTTTTCTTTTTTTTTTTTT